CTTCACCAGGTTGAAATCGCTTTATGTGAAGTGGATGACGCCAAACGTTAAAACTAAAGAAGAGATCGGAGAGACAGTCATCTTGGAGCAGTACCTAAGCATGGTGAATCCTGAGCTAAGACGCTGGATTGTGGAACATAGCCCATCGTCAGCCAAAGAAGCAGTGGAAATGGCTACCACACAGGGCAGCTGGCGTTAAGCTAATAAAAATGCAGAAAGGGATCAGAGTAGTGGGAAAAGTCGCCCTGAGAAAGTCTTTAAATGTTTTAATTGCAACCAAATTGGACACAAAATGAATGCATGCCTGTCAATGCAAAACAGTTCAGCTCAGCTGTGTTATTTATCCAGGAAAGAGAACAGATTTAAACCTGCTGAAGACACTAAAGAGAATGTTAATGCTGTGAAAAAAGGCAACAAAACGTTTAAAGCTCTTATACACACTGGGGCAAGTCAGACACTTGTGTCAGTAAAATGTGTGCCAAAAACCCATTTAAAACATGAAGCTAAGCTCAGAATGAAATGTATCCATGGAGAAGAGCAAATCTACCCAACAGCAGACGTGAACATTGAAATTAATGGTCAAACTTACCTGTTAAATGTTGGCGCTCTAGGAAAAAACACCTTATGCTGTGATTCTAGATTTACTGGTGTCTAAGCACAAAACAGCTGAAATTTTCACAATCACTAGAATTTAGTCATAGAACACTAGAAGTTACTGCAAGACCTGCCCTTTAATGAAGCCCCTAAAAGCAGGAAGTCTCATAGGCAACGAAGGCAAGAAAAAGTAAAAGGCACGGCCATGGCAGAACCTCTAAGTATGCCAAAAAGTAGCATGGGAGTGTTACCTGGTAACATAAGGGAGCTACAGGAGCAGAATGAGTCTCTTAAACCTCTGTTTTTAAAATGTAGTCAAGGGAACAGTCAGGACAAAAATGAGATCCAGTTCAAGTTGAGGGACAACATTTTATAGAGAATAAAGAACAATGTAGAACAGCTAGTGGTACCTACATGTATGAGGCAAAGTGAGCTTAAAATGGGGCATTCTGAGCCATGGGCAGGCCACTTGGGACAGGACAAAACTCAGACAAAACTTCTGTCCGAGGCTACACCTAGATGTAACAGAATTTTGCAGAACATGCCCAGAGTGTCAATTAACAGCCCCTCGGAAGAAGGCAGACAGGGTCCCTATGATTAACATGCCCATAATTGACGTGCCCCTTTCACGCATTGCCATGGATGTAGTAGGACCTCTCCCAAGAAGCCAGGGCAGCAACTGCTACATCCTTGTGGTCTGTGATTATGCAACAAGGTAACCGGAGTGTTTTGCGCTCAGGAAGGTTAAAACACGCCAAATACTCAGCGCTCTGATTCAATTAATTCTAGAGTGGCTATACCAAGAGAGGTTTTAACAGATCAGTGTACAAACTTTACGTCTAAACAGCTTAAGGATGTCTTCTCGCTGTTAGACATAAAAGGTATAAAGACCACCCCATACCATCCTCAGACCGATGACCTGGTTGAACACTTCAATAAGACCCTCACAAGCATGCTCAGGAAGTTTGTTTCGGAGACTGGTGCCAATTGGGACATGTGGTTGCCATATCTTCTCTTTGCCTACAGAGAAGTACCCCAAGCATCCTCTGGATTTTCGTCGTTCCAGCTTCTGTATGGCAGAGAGGTGAGAGGCCCGCTGGACGTCCTAAAGGAGACCTGGGAAGTGGCATGGCAGCGAGCAAAAGATCAACGTGCTATCACATTTGCTCAAAATGAGGGACAAGATGGTTCAACTGACTGAGATGGTCAGAGGCAACATGGAGGAAGCCCAGCATCACCAAAAGCAATGGTGTGACAAAGTTGCGAAAGACAGAGAGCTGTAACCAGGGGACAGAGCACTCATCCTTCTTCCTACATCTGACACTGGCCTGTTAGCCAAATGGCAGGGGCCATATGAAGTGCTGCAAAAGATCAGTAAGACCAGACATGAACTGTTGCTCCTTGACCGAAAGAAACAGAAACAAACTTTCCACATCAACATGCTGAGACAGTGGAGAGAGGCCAAGCTGAGCACAGCTGAACATTTATGGGTGAGAGCAGTTGGAGATGAGGAGGAGAACAAAGAGCAATATTTCCTAGGTACAGGAGGGACCAGCTTGAGCTGTCACACCTCCGCACTCACCAGCAAAAAGAGCTCATGAGCGTGGTTCCACCAAACGTCTTCAGGGAGGAGCTGGGCAGGACAAATATCATGCAGCGTAACAACCGTCTGCTGAAACTGTATCCAATTAGACAGACAAACTGTAGAGTGCCAGCACACTTGATTCCTGATTGGAAAAGGGAGGTAGAGGCCATGATGGAGCTGGGGGTGATAGAGCTGTCAAAGAGTGTGTGGTGTAGTCCTGTTGTCCTAGTGCCCAAGAAAGATGGAGGCCGACAATTCTGCATAGACTTATCCAAGCTCAATGCCGTATCCGCCTTCGACCCATACCCCATGCCAAGAGCAGATGAGCTGATTGAACGACTTGGAAAAGCAAAACTCCTCATGACCCTGGACTTGCGCAAGGGATATTGGCAAGTGCCACTCAGTTCTGGAACTCATGAGTTGACAGCCTTTCGAGTGCCGTCTGGGCTGTACCTCCCTGTACAATTTCTCTGTTATGCCTTTTGGCCTGCATGGAGCGAATGCGACATTCCACAGGCTAATGGATGAAGTGTTGAAAGGAACAGAAGGTTTTGCAGCTGCATACATCAATGATGTGGTGATATACCGTGCAAGCTGGGATGAGCATGTGCAGCATGGGAAGTGGTCCTGCAGAAGATTGCAGATGCAGGCCTGACAGCCAACCCATCTAAGTGCAACCTGGCTAGAGGCACGGTTCCTACCTAGATTATGTCCTAGGTGGTGTGGTAATGCACCCTCAGGTCAACAAGGTGGAGGTGGTCCGAAAGACTCCGGCCCCAACCACAAAGAGATGGGTAAGGTCCTTCCTGGGTCTTGTTGGCTGGTACTGGAGATTCATTCCAAACATCTCCAGTAGAGCTGCGGCATTGACAAACCTGATCAAGAAAGACATGCCACAATGGGTGAAATGGATAGCAGAATGTGATGCTGCCTTCAAGGACCTTAAAGAGAGTTTGTGCACAGAACCAGTTTTGAGCAGCCCAGACTTCGAGAAACAGTTTGTTGTCCAGACTGATGCATCAGGGTGTAGGTTGGGGGCCGTGTTGCTTCAAGGGGAAGCTGATGCCCTGAACCCAGTCTTGTACATCAGTAGGAAACTGTTTCCAAGAGAGATTAACTATTTGACGGTGGAGAAAGAGGACCTTGCAGTGAAGTGGGCCCTTGATTCTTTAAAATACTACCTGATGGGGTCTGACTTCATTCTTGAGACTGACCATCGTGCATTGTAATGGATGCAGAGAATGAAGAACAGCAATGTTCAGATTACCATGTGGTATTTGTTGTTGCAACCTTTTAAGTTTCAGGTGCGGTACCGGAAAGGTACGCAAAATGTGACCGCAGACTTCTTCTTGTTTATGTGTACTGTGTTTATTGTCCTAAAGTTGCTTTGTTATTGTTTGTTTCATGTAACCCCTTACTAGCCCTGGGGAATGGTCTGGTTTAACTAGATGGAGGCAGGGGCTATGGTGTTAAAATGAGGGGGACCCTGTCTCTACACCGTCACGCTACATGTAAAACAGTGCAGCCTTGAAATCTCTACACCCCAACATTCCACAAACTGTGAAACATGTACAGTCAGCTCCATAATTATTGGTACATTGCCCGTATTAACCCAAAAGTGCTATTTCTGATGACCATTTCTTTCTCTATAAAAGTATTAACCCAACCCAGTGGCTGTAGGACCTGAAGTGGCTGCTTATATTTCTTATTAGCCAGAGCAAGCCCTTCTTTATTAATGTTTTTGTGGCTCAATGTGATCAAGACTTCACACATATCTAGTGTAAAGCCTTTTAAGTGAAGCAAATTTTGTCTAAAAAAACATTTCTTGAATAAAACCATGTGTCACAGGAAAGTTTAAAACAACCAGAGCTGTAGTAAATCTACTTGAAAATGGACATAAACATATTTTGCCTTCATGCACAGTGAGGAGGATGGTTAGAAGAGCAAAAATAGATCATGGTTGGAGATTGGCAGAAGAAAGTAGCATTCTGGGGTCACCAAGGCTCCAGAACTATAATTAGACACCACCTCCATGTCAACAAATTATTTGAAAGGTGTTCTAGAAGGAATTATTTTCTTTCATGTAACTATAAATGTAATTGCCTGAAGTGCACTACATGCTTTTTGTTTTACATAATAGAAACTCATTGCATTATAGCAAAAATGTCTACAAAGTTATTGTTAAACTGGCACATTAATGTAGGCCTGGCATTTCATAAACTGACCAATTAAAGGCATTTACACTCATTACGTTTCAGTCCATAGCTAGTGCTGTCACATGTACTGGCTGTGCAATGTGGATGAAATTGATTCTATTAACATATGCAGAGAACTAAATTGAGTCTCCCGTACTAGTATGGGTAGATTTTGTAAAATTGCTTAGTTGGCTATTTGACAATGAAATCAATACGCATAAGGCATGCAGTGGTTTCTTTTTTTTCTTTTGATCAGTTTTGTCATATGCTGAACCTATGAGGCTTTGTATAGTGTTTTGTTAGTTTACACCAGGCATGTCAAACTGGGGAGGGTCCAAGCCAAAGTGCTGCGGAGATTAGCGTTACCCTCATCTAACACTCTGAGTTCAGTTAATGAAGGCCTTGCTAATTCGCTGTTTAGCTGAATCAAGTATGTTTAATGAGGCAGTGTCTTGAAGTCTGCAGTGTGTTTGCCAGTGAGGACTGGAACGTGACATGTGGTTTACACCATAGATGGTAGGTGCAAAAAAATGCAAATATGTTGGTCACCCTTGAGTCCCAAGTAAAACAAACGCAGAACTGTTAAACCCATCGCTAAAATCAGCATGGCTTTATAAGGGCTCAGATATTCGGTAGTGGGGCTTGAGGATGTATATATGCTGCTGATCAGCTATGAAAGGAAACAACTTCTCTGCTCGTTTCTTTTACTGAACTTTATCTGGCTCCCCTGACTGAATTCATCTCTACAACGTTGGGTTAACTCTGGACACTGAAATCCCAAACTCCAGCAAACATCTGTGAGTTTGAGCACACTTTTAGTAACCATCCCACCAAAAACAGGTCAGTAAAGTGTCTTTGAGTGTTATTGCATGGTAAAAAGTGAAGTAGGGAGAAGTTGATTTGAAGTGTTTTGAGGTTTGTAGTATTGCTTTTGTTAATCTAAACTAATATTTTGCTAAACTATTTTTTTTTAGTTGAATGAAAACAGTTGAATTGACAGTTGAACTGACAAACCATTTTTTGCAGTGTGTTGTGTAAAAGTGTCAAAATGGTCAGCATGGCTGTAATGTGATATCTCATATTTTTCTTTCTCCTGTAAATTTACCAAGGTTTCTGTATATTTAGCTATGTATACACAGTGATGTACATATATAAATCAATAAATGCATAAATCATTAAAGTGCAGATATATCCGCTTACCCTTAACATCATTCTGGCTTATGATTAATGATATTCCCAAACAAAACCCCCGTCTGCTGGTAAATACCGATACTGACACAGCACAGCAGCTGTTCCCAACTCAGCCACTACGACAAGGTGGTTGTGTGATTTACACGTGTCTATCTGTTCCAGTACAATTATAACTAAATCATTTTATGAGTATATTTTTGGTAACAGATAAGGTGGAACACAGCAATATGTCCACATCTGATTCTCACTATGTAAGTTAGAAAATAGCCCTTGATGCTGAATTAGTCTCCCTCTGTAGCCAACAGTCAGCTAACACGGACCATAATAACAACCAACTGATTAAAACAGAAAAATCTGCCACGTTTGATTAAAGATTCTTCGTGGATCACGTATAAAGTAATCATCCCAAAATGATACATTTCTCTGTTTTGCTTCATCTTCTAAAGAAAGATCGGCCACCACATTTTCAGATAAAGGCCTTTCCACTGAGTGTGCTTTTGACCCGGGCCTGACGAATGAATGAGGGGAGTAGGTGAGAATTCCTAACTGCCAACAGTAAAGGCACTGCTTCCCATTTTCATTTGAGTCTTGCCTTCTTTCTAGCTTTGTGCTCTCTTTGATAATGTAATTTAAATGCATTATTAGAGAGTGAAAATGCATATAAGACTAATTAAATTTTAATTATCATTTTTGATGCAATTATTGCATAATCACATTAACAAAAATGTGCTATTCTAGAAATGCATTTTAATTTAGATAAAGCTGCTCATGAAGCATCTAAATCTTTATGTAAATGAAAGATGTCAACACTTGTTTACCAAATGTCAAATTAAAATTGCAGTACTAAATTTGAATTTTCATTCTGAGCTCAGTATTTCACATATGAACGGGAAATTTAAATGCAAACATATAAATACATTGTTACTTTACATATTACATTTTTTGATACTGATATGCTTCCATAATTTATCAACTCGTCCACTATATCTAATTTGCATTTTCATGGGGCCCTTTGGCTGGTGCACAGACCACACACGTTCAAAGGGATTAGCTCCCTCACAGCTCAAAACTATTGAGCACTGCCACCTCTCTGTGGCTCTGATTAGAACTGCACCTGTTCTGTATAATATTTTGACATACTATTTAGTTTTGGACGCAGCCATAGAGAACTGTTGGCACATTGTTTTTTAATCTTTACTTGCCTTGTGCCAAAACTTTTGGAACAGTGGGACACTTTGTGGGGCAGTGTGCTTCTTGCAATAACTTGTGATGGTCAAGTGTCATTGTTTTGTTTATCAAGCCCACTGATTTCATCCTTCAGAGTGTGGCTTGTCTGTCAGAAGCTGTATGAAGATGACCGTGTCTGTGGCTACTGTGCTGTTTCTGATGACCGTTTCTTTCTCTATAAGGAAGGTAGGTGCCATATATATTTACACAGTAATTAAATTACATCTCTATCACTAAAAAATTGGTATGAATTATGGCCATTTGGTACATTTTCATTTTTTTAAAATGAAGTATGTTAAAAAGTACTGGGTATCTCATCCAGTAAATAAACACCTTATTTGTCTGTTACTCTAAATATCTTATGATACTTGTGTGAATGTGCAGAGACTGCCCTGAACACACGTCAAATTCACCGTAAAATCTTTGGTTTCAAATGTGGTCCTGGAAAGAAACACCTTTTTGAATTCTGTGGGACAGACAAGTGAACTCTATATAAAAATGCACAGAAATATGTATAATTTTGTTAAAGGAAACAAATGCATAAATATATACATGATGAATGTAATTCACTGACTGACAAAATGTTGTAACAGATTAGACAAAAAGTCATCTTAGAGGGAACAGGCCCAGGCCTAAGGCATGAAAACAATAGTCCCCACTTTAAATGCCTGATATTAATTTGTTAATTTTCAACTGTGAACATATTGACATACGACTATCTTTTAATAAAAAGTTTTTTTTCCTTAAAGAAAAACAACACTGACTGGACTATTAGGGGCACAGGTGGGCTTCAAATGTAAAACGGACACCTTCATGCCCATTTCAGAATTTTCATCTTTACTCTTTATTATTTCATTATTTAAAAAAATATATACATACAACTTGTCTAATTACATTAATAGAGAAATTGAAAATATAGAATATAATGTTGCATTTTTCAGTATTCAGTATGTCCAACAGAGCTATTCTTAGACTGTAGAAGTGTGTAATAAAACTTTGGGCCCGCTGGTGAACCCTGGCCAATTGTGGCGGATGTCCAATACTGGTGTTCTGATGCAAATTTCTTGACAGCTACACATCCTTTCAGACGTATAGTGTTGAACTGTGTTCTCACACTGAAAAGATGGACAGAAACAACTGTGGATTTAGTCAGATCTTGTTAAAGTTTCAAAATGTACCATTCACTACCCACTATATCTAACTCATAGATGGAAATGAAGCTCCAAAAAAAAAAAACATATTTAATTCATTGTTTCTGTGGTGTCACAAGAACCAACTCACAGCAGTTTGGCCGCACCCACTGAGTGAAATACCCCCTGGTAATCGGGGGTCCCATGTTGGCTATCTACTCCAGTGCTAACTTGTTCGACATAGTGAACTGGCTACAGCACCTCCCTGAGGCAGACCAGTGCTGCATCTCTAGTTAGTTAAGAATACCAAAGACAGAAGCTTTCCGGTTTGTGGGTGAAGCAGCTAAACAATGACATTACCCTGAATTTGTAATTGCGCCTCTATTTTATTATTTTTTTTTTTTAACGGACAGCATAAGGTGATAATAAGTTTATTTTCTGAGACCCCCCACAACTTTGATTTTGAAACATTTAGGGGCTCCAAGAGGTTAATCAGGGGGTCCCTGAGGGTCCAAGAACCAGGACTTAACCTCTTTGACCCCTTAAATGTCTAAAGATAAAACATTGAGGGTAGTTGAGTGTATTTCGCACCTTGACCCCACTCATTCATATTGAAGTTCTAAGGAGTGTTTTAGCTCTGAGTGCTTATCACAGTACAGGACAGCCAATCAGAAGAGAGGTAAAAATGAAGAGCATTTTTAGCAAATAAAACCAGAAATGTTTTAAGTGGACCACAAGGGAAAAAATAATAAAATAATATACATAAAAAATATATAGCACAAAATATGTAGGCCCTTTAAGTACTTTAAGTATGGTGACAGTTTTGGTGGTCTACCAGGTCTTGCACAGTTGTTATGAGTCCCATTCTCTATTTAAAAAAAATGAACATGAGTTTTGGACACTCTTATTTTTTCACATATTTTACTTTATATTTATATCTAATCTCTTCAAAAAATTTCTCCTGAAAAATGAATGAACAATGTTCGTTTTGACTGGAAATTAAATAAATGAAAGGTGGTCTCTGATGTTTGCACAGTACTTTCTGTTAATTTAGACTAAGGTGGGCTTACTGAAGGCTTCTCCACTAACAGTCTAAATGTGTGCCATTGTTGTCCGACTATTTTACCTACAGAGCAGTGGTCAAGTTTGGCCCCTGGACATGGCTGAAAACTCCGTGGATGACTCTTATGAAGGCTGCAGGGACGCCATGAATAGATTAGTGATCTCAAAATACATTGAAGATGAAAAAAAGAACACTCCTGGTTTTGCAGCTGGTTGGAAAAAAGCACTTAAGAACTGCGCAAAAAATGGACTCAGTATAAACCAGTCTGCTGCTATATACATGTATACAGCAGATCCTAAATATATGAAGGATTGTTCACATAAAAAATTTAACAGTGCTACTCGTAATGGAGCAGCAGCCTATCAGTCAGGTGACTTTCAGTTTTACACACTGCATTTCTTTCTGACTGATGCTATTCAACAACTCAAAAAACTCACAAAAAAACAAAGGTGTGTGACCACATATCGCAGAACTAAAGATAAATTTAAAACAGACGTTCTCAAGAAAAAAATTCGATTCGGGTCTTTCACTTCCAGCTCTTTCGACAAGAATTTAGTTCAGTTTGGTAACGAGTCCTGTTTTCAGATTAAAACATGTTTTGGAGCCGCAATAGAAAATTTCTCAGCGATAAAATATGAGAAAGAGGTGCTAATTCCTCCATATGAGACCTTTCTCGTCACCGCCATCAAAAAAAAAGACAAGAAAAAAGATCTGTGGTGTAATGTGGTCTATGAACTCAAAAGTGCTGGTAAGAAGAGCAACCTTAATTGCAAAAAAATACCCAGTGGATCAGCATTAGTGCCATCCTGTAGTGGATTTGGCTGTTTTATTCATAAGATGATCAGAATTCTTAAGACAAAATTAATCCCTTTGTGATTTGTGAAACAAAGAGGAATCACAGGAGCCAGGATGTCTGGAGACTATCTAACTAATCACGTTTATGGCCCCCAGAATTCTTTAAGAACTCTCTCTCAACCTCCACACAACTCATCTTCCTACACCCTCCTCAAACATTTACAGCCCTTGTGTGAGAGGAAGACATCTGGCTCAAGGATCAAGATAAAATATACCCCAACCAGATAACGTGGTCTGCAACCTAATGGACCCCTCTCACCAAATTTCCTTTTGGTAAGCACTCTGAGTGCACTCCTACCTTAGGTCGTAAATTTCTTTAGACTCTTCAGAGACTGAATCTTAAAACCCAGCTTCATTCTCCTGCTCTTTGGCAAATTGTGTGCCATACCTTTATCTTTAATCAAACGCTAAATTGAGTGACTCTCCTCCTAACTGATCTGTGGAAGAATCCCCCTGTGTCTCTGTTAAAATAGCAGTGTGTAACTCAAACTAATATTTCTCCATGCTGAATAGTCAGATGTGAATTCATTTCCTACACTTTGATGGCTGTTTGATGATTTTAAACTGTAACCCAGTTTCTTTCATTGAAATTATTTTGACAGTTTACAGCTCTTTTTCATTTAATCAGTTTTAGAAATCTCATTAGGATAGAAAGTTAGATGTATTGCTGTGAGTCATGTTTGAACCTCATATTTGCTTTATTCTTTTGTAATTATGTTCATTTCTTTTCCTACTTGAAGTAGAACTTTGTAAGTAACTTGTGTGACTTTTCTTATGAAAGATGTTATACTTTGCACACAATGGAGGTTCTTCCATAAATATCCCCAGGAAATATTAATGGACTCAGTATTTCTTTTACTCTATACTTTCAATTAAGCATTGTTTAGAAATGCTATAGGGTGATTAATTTTGGAATCTTTTTGTCTGCTTTTCTTAAGAAATCTCATTTCCTTTTCTTAGTAATGATGTTTCTTTTAGACAGAAGGACTGTTAGGGGTTAAAGTAACCTTATGTAACCAAGGTGTGAAATTAGAGTACTTAAGATAGAATAATCTGTAATTTCAATAGTTTTCTTGTAATATTTACTATTGAAACAGTGACAATATTTATACATGAAAGTGCCTATAATGCTCTTTTACTTAATGCTATACAACTATCAGAAATCTATGTATGTGAAGTTATTTTATGACAAATTTGAGCAGACACCCAGACAAAAAAATTGCATATTCAGTAAATAAAGCGCAAAACCCATTTTCCCCACCTTAGCTCTGCCCACAAGAAGTGTGGTCATATAACCAGGATCTGTCCTGGTGAGAGAAATGGAGAGATGTAACCACCAAGAAAGAACAAAATCTGCAGATTTTAGTTTTAGTTGAACAGCCTAACTGAGCTGCATTTGTTTTCAACTTGCATCGATTCATTCAGGGTTTGATTGGCCAATGATAAGTCATTGCGAAATCTGTGAGCATAGTTTAAGAATCACAGACAGAAGTAAACCAGTGCTGAATGTAAGCCATTACAGAAGTTTGCCTCCACTGCCCGGTGTGAAACTGGGGCCTGACGTCACCAATCAGTGCTGAAGAGTTGAAGAATTGATTTAGTCTCGGCTCTGTGTTACCCTGTCCCCCTTTCAAAGTAAAATAAGGTCAGTCGTTACACCAGAATTTATATTCCGTTCTGTGTACTGCTCAAACACCATAAAATAGCTATTTCAGCTATGTTCATCTGGTGAATCGCATGTCTCTAGTTTCTGTCTGCACACCTATTACTCTATCATTCAGTGCCCATATACCTTGTTATTAATAAATGACTCTGTATTACAGTTATTACTTGTTTGGTTGTGTGTGTAATTATCACAATCCGATCAATCAGTCACTGGCTACAGGAACCCTAACCTGAGATGAACCCAAAAGTAAGTTGTGTTTATGGTGTAAGTGGGAAATAGCTGAATTAAGTTGCCATCTCCCGCTACATCCTTAATTTGTAAATGTTCTGCTGTTTACTGTTCTGATGGTTACTTAAGAAACATCAGTAAAGAGGTCATGCAGATGTAGCACACAGCTCTCAAAGAAGAGTTCTTACAGTATGTAAGTCTCCTGTTCAGTGATCAGTTCTGATGATCTATTTCTGTTTGGTTTTAAAGAAACTGTTGTACTCTCACAAATACTGATACTATAAAATCACTTTCCTGAATGTTTTTATCAAGGAAAAGTTTAAGCAGTCATCGCCCGACACACAAATTTCATACCTCCTAAACATGTAACAGGAAACACAAGTTATATGTTATCATTCAGTACACACTCCAGTCCAGTCAGTGTGGGACAAATCAGTGTTACGTCACAACAGTGATGAACTTCCAGTGGTTCACAAACTCTCCAGAATATGTGGTGAAATGAAAACCAAAAATAAACCAAAAACCAGAAGAAGAGGTCAGATGAGAGGAGGAGGTCAAGGAAAGAAGAAGTTGATGAGCAAGACGATGTATCAACCTCTTTTGTAATCACAACATTAGAATGAAATAAGCTGGGCGAAGGGTTCAGTCAAATCTGATCTGCTTTGATAATCAGAATGATCAGAGAGAAAAGCAGGTCATTCACATCACTGTAGAAAGGTCATTCTTTCTTATGCTGAATGTGCTGAGGGACAATAAATCCAAATGTTCTTTCTGAATTTATTTCTATGTAAATATATTAATTCCATAGAATGTTTGCATTTGATTTGTTTAATCACCCACCATAACTATTTTATGATGTCTTTTTAAGTGATTGTAGAAGTGTCTATTTAATAATCAGTAGTGTTTATGGATTTGATATATTTTTCTATGTTTTCAAAGATAATATTTCACTTAAGATGTTTTTGCCAGAAAAAGATGCATTTTAGTGAATTTAGTTGGAGTTTGGAGATTTATGTTTAAGGTTTTAAAAAAAGCAAGACAGGATTTCAGAAAGTGTGTTTAATGATTGTAAAAAATACTGTATATTAGTGAGATACAGATTACTGGTCTCATACTAGTTAAAGTTGTGCTGAAGTGATCACAGAGCTGAGCTCCACCCGCTCCTAAAAACTGTGCATCCAGAATATGTATATCTTTTTTTCGTCTTAATAGTCTGGAAAAAATAGCAATAGCAATCTGATCTGGATTTCTTTTAATCACTCATTATTCATTATTAATTTCTTTATAAAGGATAGAAGACTTTGTTTGTTCTATAGGCTTCCTGTGCTCTATATGCTTTATATATATATATATATATCATGTCGGAAGAAAACCTTGTATCTCCATTTTTGATGTTTTTCAGTTTTTGACATAATTTGAAAATATATATATATATATATATATATATATATATATATTAATAAACTGAATTCATTCATTAATTATATTCATTTTGACATAATGCAATAGATAATACAAAAACCATAATATTCACAGTGTACACAGTCCCATTTCACACATAAGAAAGGAAAAAAGAGAGAGAAAAGTAATAAAATCAACTTTAAAGGGCAATGCAGTAAGTTTCCACACTTCTTTGGGCAAGTTATCTGCAAGTATCAACATACAGACCTTTTTAATGTCACTTTTACACAGTTTAAAGTGGATTAACTGGCTTAGAGCCAGTAACTTCATGAAGGTTTAAACTGTTTCTCTTATAAACATGTAACCACAGCACATATAACTATATGGCAGTGTTTAATGCAGATACCAGTTTATAAGCAGCCTTGTAATGCTAATTTCCACTAGCACCCTTATGCTGCAATGTTATGCTAGTGCCTAGCTAGTTTGCAGTAACTTATCCTCACTGAGTTTAATGCTACTTATGACATTTCTAGCTTTGAGTGAATCATTGAGTGAATACTTAAATTTACAGCTTAACTCTAAATATAATCAGAGGAGGTTGTCAGCCTGTTTTTACAGGTCTGTATTAGAACTGAAACTCTTCTTGATGAACATATCAGTAAGTAAACTTTATTTCTAATTAAATCTGTCAAAAATAAAAAGTTTTAAATTTATTTAAGGTTCACTGGCTTACAAGATTAATCCGCACTCTGTTGACTAAAAAAATCAGCGTATGTTTTGTTCAACCTATATCAGTTTTGAACTAAAAAAATTGTATGGCAATAAAACATTTCTTTTCTTTCTTTTCTAACCCTAAACAAACACAGATTGTTTCATTTAAACACTTAAAGCTTAACCATTAATAATTAGTCCAGGCAGAGCCGGTCCTGATCTCCCTGGAGCTCTAAGCAAAATTGTGCATGGGGTCCTCCTACCTGACCCTTGAGTCATGTAAACCATTTGCAGTTGCCACACAGTCACACTTGACACCCAAGTGCTCCCACTACAGTCCTCCCTCCTTTAGAACAGTTTGCTCTGTTGCTGTATAAGTAAGTAGACCTATACAGAACAGACTGAGGTACAAACAAACAATATTTATTTAACAGAATACTTTCTATATAATCTTGAAGATAAGCTAATATTAACGTAATGCAAGAAACATAACATAATAAGACATTAGACCCCATTTACTGGGGCATGTGCCCAGTAAAATGTCAGTCGCGGCTGTAAAAGGTCAGTAATATAGCCATGACGCTTTCTGCTTTTTTCTGGATTGCTGAGCAGAACTACAGGACAGAACTACAGCACATGGATTCAACACAGGCACTACATTTCCCATAATGCCCCAACATCTCTGCAAAAGCTCTTCACTTGGAGCCAGTTTCTTTCGGTGTTTCGCCTGGAGTAACGGACATAAATATTTCAAAGAAAGTGACCCACGCCGCAGACGAGGTGATGATAGCTCATGTCTATGTTTTGGCCAGACACTTCTAACTGTATAACCTAGCAAAAATACACGTAAGACCACTAAAGCAAAGGCATTAATTAAATGAGAAAAAGCATCAGTTACGTTTGCCTGGCTTTATTTACGCTAGCTAGTAAAAGGGCCATTGACAATACAAGCTTGCAAAATGAGCGTCACTTGTAGCCAATATAAAAGTAAACTGCTCTGTTTATCCAGCTCGCATGAACTGATGATGCAAAGACAAAATCACAGTTTCACATG